CGCACTCGTAATGTGTTTTTTTCTTTGCCGCAGTTATTTTTGGTAGGTCGGCTCCGTAGCTGTGGCCCCAGGCATTTCGCCGCTCGTAGTACTCTGCATCGCATTTTGCACTCTGGGATCATCCCGAAACCCCTCGTGCGCCTGCGATGGACGCCTGACATCGGAATGTGCTATCCTGCTTGTTCTGGTTCAATATCATGCCTATCGCCGCCAGTCTTCCGTTGCGGCTCTCGTCCACCTTCTAAGCCTTTCCGACCGTCGACTTTGCTTCGGACTCGTATCCTCCAGTGATGGGCTTCCCGATGTCGCCCGCGTCTGTGTCGAGGCCCAGATATATTGGTTCTCGGAACCGGTCGCTGCTGCCGTGCAATCGTTTGTCATCTGTGATATCTTCGCTTGTAGTCGTGTATCCATCTTTGTGTACATGGGGTGATGCTCGTCACGAAGCTGCGCACCATGTACGGGCGTGCTATCAGACCACCGCAGTTGCTCTTGATGCGTACTCATTTCCGGTCGCCTCTGCATGCGATCTCGAATGTCGTTCTGCGGTATCCCTGTTCTCCAAGCGTCGCTGGTCTTTGGCATGATCTGGTCGTTGGCCGTGGCATCGCTTTCCACGAGCAGCTGGCGAACGCGTTGGACATGTTCCAGCCGACGCCAAGCATCTTCCCGTTGTCCGTACTCGATGCTACACGACTGCCGTAGTCACGGTTGTCCTTTTCTTTCGTCGTTTTCGAGTAGGTCCGAAGCCCTGGTCGCTGTGTATTCTGTTGTTGTTTCTCCTGACGCCTGCTGTGTAGTATGCTTTGCCGGCCGGGTCCATGAGGTGATCGTGTCGTTTCCTTGCTGGCCCTTTCTTATTGTTTGTCTAGCCACCCTTGCCGAATGTTCATGTCATCTGATTGGTGTCACGTTGCCTAGCCGTGTTGTTTCCAGTGTTGTTCGGAACAGTTGTTGGACTCTATATGGTTGTGCTGCTTCTTGTGCTGCTCCCAGTCCCTGCCGTTGCTGCCTGGACTCAGCCGCTGGGCGAAGTATTAGTCGCCATAGTTCCGATGGGGCTGCTGTTGGTTGTGCTGCTCCTCGCAGTGCGGTTGTCTTCAAGCTCCTGATGATGTACTCCTCGCACTTGTTCGCTAGCTCCTCGAGGTCGTTCTCGTAGTCCTTCTCCGTCGTCTGTGTAGGGATCTGCTTTATGGTGTCGGGTGCTTGTTCCGTCATTTCCATGCCGCCATGTTCTCCTGGTAATTTCCAGAGCTGTATGCCTTTCTGTTTGGTAGGTTTCGCTGTAACTGCTGTCCAGTATTTGTTCCTCGGTCCATATCTGCATTCTGCAAGAAGTCTTGATTCGCGGTTGGTCTCTCTGCTCCCATGCTTCGTACATCTCCACCACCCTGGCGTCGCTCCTCTTTTGGTACTGCCCCGTCCCCATGCCTGAGCATTGTGGGAGCGTTCTTGAACTCGTACTCTAGCTGTTATAGTTCCTCCTGAGAGTCCTGAGCGTAAAGGGTTGTCCTCTTGGTCGTGGTTGTCCTGAGTTCCGCTGGGTCTAGGTAGGCCGCTGTTCTCTGGAGTCTCTCGTTGATCGTTCCTCGCCGAGATTCTCCTTCCAAGCCTGTGTTCCAGCATTCCCTGGCCTGGGGTGGTTCCTGGACAGAGGGTGTGTGTGACGACAAGGTCGGGATTGATATGCCATGGTCCTGCATCTTTTGATGTGAAACGTATTCCGCGTTCGATATGTATCTTGGACGGTGGTGCTCTCGATCGTGATGAGTACCTGGTGTCGCAGCTGTTCTCGTCCGTCTCGTCCTTGTCTGAGTAGTTCCATTATCTGTTTCTTCTGCTCTTCATACAGTGCCGTTTTTAATACATGCTCCGCGTGCGGATCATGTATATAACATGCAGGGATTGAGTAGTAACAACAACGACGAGTTCATGCATACATTGATTCATCAATTAAGCATATATTAAAAACGTTTATATATGTGTATATATATATATATTAAACGTTTATATTTATATATAAAAAACCAGTGTATTAGAAACACTGCCCTGTACTCTGTCGATGGTGTCGATTTCGCGTCGTAGTACATCTGGGCTATCTGGATGGTCGTGTGATCGATGTCTTGGAAGAACTTGTCTAAGCTCTCCCCTCTCCGTGGCGTCGTATTCCTCCATTGCCGTCTCGAGGTACTGCAGAAACTCGTTCCTCATTGCCTCTCACTGCTCGTGCGAAGCCATCCCTGTCCCGTTTGGTTGCTCGTTTTCGTCGCCGGGTCCGTTGTTTGATGGGTGGTCGAAGCGTCGCATGCACAGGTGCGTGGTCCCTGTGTTCCTGCACGGCACAAGTTGCAGTTCGGCTACCATTCGTAGTAGAGGTCCCTGTGACGTCAACGTCCGTGACGCCAGTATATAGTCTATGCAGCTTGCGCTGTTCTCCCCGAACTAAGTTGGTCTCCAGCTGCCTACAGTATTGATCACCGTCAGGTCATGCTTGTCCTCCCACTGTCTTCCTCTGTGTCCTGCTCCGCCTGGTAGTTGTCCTCGTGCTCGTCCTGGTCCCAGGCTTTGTGATTCTGGAGCTTCTCCCTTTGTGTTGATGCCGACTCCGTCGTTCACCTCGCCTGATAATATTTGTACGCTGTGTCTCGTTCTGGTTTTGGCCACTTTTCCATCCATTTGAATAATCGCCCGATCGTTGCCGGGTATACTTTGCCATCTTCTCGCATCTTGGGCTACTGTGGAAAATCCAATATCACGAGCATTATCACTACATAATGTAGTATTTGTGCTACACGTAGTTTGCTGTGAAGTCCTATCATGATACCGTGATTTTGATTGTCAGTTCGCATGTTCTCCATCCTGCGTCCACGTATTTCGTACCTCCTTGTCTCCCCTATGTGGGATGTTCTGCTCTTCGCCATCGCGCTGAGCCATTCAGCCTGACGAACATGGGGTTGAAGAGTAGCACGGCGAGAGGGGCGGTCCAAGCCGTTGCTGCTGTGCGGGCCTTCCGACCTACCTTTCTCTCAACGTTCTACGGAATCGCATTCCGTCCTTGTGAGGTGCCCAGATGACAGCTGGGAGGAGGAGGAGGAGGAGGAGGAGGAGGAGGATGAGGAGGAGGAGGAGGAGCAGGAGGCGAAGGACGCGGAGGATGCGGGCCAGTGGTGCGGTACACGGAAGGAACGGCCCGTTGCCGAAGGGCGAGGAGGCTGAGGCGATGGTGATCCGGATTGGGCGGGTGTGGTTCTCGGGTGGCATCCGCTGGCGCCTCGCGCATGTGGCTGCTGTCTTGGTTCCAGATAGTCGGTGGCGCGCCCAGGGGAAGGAGTGAGAAGGAGAAGGCCTGCTCAGAAGGTTCGGAAGTCCCCAGGCCTTTGGATAAGTTTTTCAAGCCTTCCTCGAAGACACAGAGCAATTCTCAAGAGACCCGATGCCTTCTCAGAAGCCCCGCCGCTCTCTGAGAAGGCCTTCTCCCTCTCACTTCCCCCCTCGCTCGCCGCCAAGATAAGAGGAGCACCACGAGGATGAGCACCAATGTGTTTGGGCGTTCTTTGCCCCCCCCCCTCCCCCCCCCCTCCCGCGGCTTCTGGAGGGCATCTCCGAGGCCTCTGGAGGCCCCTGCAGGGACCTCCGGGGGGACTCCGCGGCAACCTCCGGACGCCTGTAGTCGGGACGCTGAGCCAGGGACCGCCGTGGGCTGAGGAGGGGCGCTGGTTTTCGGCCGTTCCTCATGTTCGGGGGCCCCAAACGGGGTGGTGACCACACCGTGTGGCGAGTCGGTGGGGATTCGGGGTCACCGCACGGTTTTGGGGCTCGAGTCCCTCTCCGAGGATGTCTCGGGCGACTGGGGCCTCCGAGGTCTCAAAACCGAGCGTTGACGGACCGTGCGGTGAGGTCTTGGGGGTATTCGAGGTCACCGCACGGTCTGTCACCGCACCGTTTCGGGACTCCAGACATGTCTGGGTCGGGCAACTTGTTGTGAAGGCCTCACGGCCGGTGCCGCCGGCCCAGGACGACGACGATGACGACGACCACGACGATGACCACACGACGGCAACGACAACGACAGCGACGAGCTGACGAGTGGCGCCGGTTTTCGGCCGTTCCTCGGGTCTGTGTCGGGTAACCTATTCGTGGCCACGGTTTACCGTGGCCAGGGGAAGCTTCTTCGTTCTTGGTTCGGCTTCTCCCATGTGGCAGTACGATGACTGTAGACCTCTTGCGACCCGGGCGGCGTCTCCGGGCCCCATGCGGCCGTCGAGAGCTGCAGAGCTTCACGTGACAAAGATCCCGTGCCATCGGAGTCAGGGTCTGGGGGGCAGCATGAGGAGGAGGAGGAGGAGGAGGAGAAGGAGAAGGAGAAGGAGGAGGGTGAGTAGGTGCAGTTGGTGTTATTGCTGGAGGGAGGAGGAGAAACGAAAACGGAAGAGTTGGCGGAGGCCTGGGCCCCTGAAGACTACGTAGCAATCCCCCAGAATCCGCTCGAATTCAGACCCCCGAGGTCCCATGCAACTACTAATGCCTCCGGCTCCCTCTACCCTTCGTCCGGTTGGAGGATGAGGAGGACCTTTTATAGACCTTTTAGAGACATTTTAGACTTCAAATGCTCTCTGAGACCACCCTGCAAATTTGTTACACCCATTGGAAGCCCTCAGTCCCGCCTGCGCGCGACTGTATCCATCTCCCTCCTCCAGGTCCTCCTTCCTCGTTGACCTGATCACTTCTCAGTTGGGCCCGACCTCCTCCTTCTTCCATGCTGCCCTCCTCGCTTTCTGGATGAGGAGGAAGAAGAGACGGAGGAGGAGGAGGAGGAGGAGGAGGAGGACGAGGAGGAGACGGAGGAGGAAGAGGAGGAGGAGGAGGAGGAGGAGGAGGAGGAGCTTGGAGTGCTCAGGCACAACGACGAGGAGCGGAACGGTGACGAGGACGCCGCTGACGAGCACGACGACGGCCCCTGGTGGCGGCGGCGAGCGCGCGCGCGCGGGCTGGGCCAGGACGCGGCGTGCCTGGGAGCAGGCGGTGCGCCGGACTGGGGCCCGAGGCCCGTGTCTGCCGCGCCTCGGTCGCCGCGCTCCGTCGTCGTCGTCGCCGTCGCCGTCGTCGAGCCGCCCTGCTTGGTCCCTAAGGGCTTGTCGACTTTTCGCCAATCGACTTGTGAGAATCGAGCCAGATAAACCCAGGTAAACGCAGATAAATCGAGGTAAATCCAGGTAAATCTAGATAAATCTGGGTAAATCCAGCTAAATCCAGAGATCTCCAGGGAAAGTTCGAGCACTTCGCGGCCGCTCCAGCGCGAGTCGAAGGACGGCAGAAGTCGTTAAGCCTTTAACGACTTGGGGAGGCTTGGCTCAAGGAAGGAACAACCACCCAGACCGGACAATTGGCCTTGACTAAACGGCCCTGGGCGTTTACTGAACAGCCCTGCCCTGTTTGATTCCTTCTTTGGGTGCGTTTGCTCAACGGCTTCGCGTGTGGGGGTGGTCATTATCGGAGCGGATGTTCTTCCCTCTACTGGGGGAGCTTTGAGATTTCAGTTGGCCAGGCTGTCTTTCTCGACTTCGGCCGCAGGGTCAGAGGAGGAGAAGGTACCCATACCTCTACATTCGCCCGTTTTTTCATTTTTTTGCCTCCTGGGCCTCCCTTGTCGCCACCGCTGGATTCGCCTCGAAATCCTGGTCAGAACGCACCCCGAGAGAGGTCTGGGGAGTAGCGGTATCGGTACCTTTCGGTCTCCCCACAGGGGGGGGGACTTCTTCGGACCACCGAACAAGCAGTAGTGGAGTTTCCTGACCTGCCCATGGGCCCGCCACAGGGTGTTCTGATGGCGTTGTGCGGCTTGCTCAAGCCTTCAAGCCTTTGGCTTGAACGCTTCTGACTGCGACAGGTTTGTTTGTATGGAGTCGTTTTGCACACGCTTTCGGCAGTATTCGAATGCGCTTTGTTGTTCACAGACATGTTGCGGTAGTCCTACGGGAATGCTGGTCGGTCGGTCTTGGGCGAAGAGTTTGCCCCAGGGAGGGTTTCGATGCTGCAGGGGCAGACCAGCTACAGCGAGGGCAGTTGTGGTCCTCACCGCCGCCTCTGGGCGACCCATCGGATTCGACACTCCTCTCCAGAGAGGTTGTCTATACGGCAAGGTCCCCAAGGGGATAGTTAGCACAGCTCCCCTTGTAGTGGCTGCTCGGAGGGGCCCGCGGATAGGAACAGTCGAACAGGGGTCGACCTAAACAGTGTTTTTGGCGATTTCGTGGGCCGTCTTCGTTTTGATTTGGTTTTTTGCAGCACGGGCGGACCGAAGGCACAGCGAGGGAAACGGACCACAACACGAAAACGAGGTCGATTTGCTTGGGCCGATGTCGCCCAGTCGATCCCCAAGCCACCTCATGCGAAGATTCGCTGCTGCACAGGGATGAACCTCCTGGAGCTTCCGAAAGTACTCCTCAGGGCATTTTCTTGAGGTGCGTGGTGTTCATGTGTGTGTATGTGTGTGTGTTCTGTGCGTGCGTGCGTGCGTGCTTCTGTGTGTATGTGTGTGTTTCGGGAGGTTGCGTAGAGAACCTCTCTACCTATTCGACAGTCGAATGGCGACAATGACATGATCCCCAAGGGTACCCGATGTATAGAATGGCATAGCATGGTGTAGAAGAGCTCGGCAGAGCGTAGCATGACGTAGCATGGTGTGGTATTGCGTAGTCAAGGGGTGCATTGCATAGCATCGTAGCGGAAGACTTGACTTGGCGTCGCATAGCGGTGCACAGCATAGCATTGCGTGGCATGACATCTTTGGTACTGCAGCGGGAGGCACATGTTGATGGACTGAAACGCGGAAATGAGGCCAGCGCTGTAGCTGGAGCACCAATCGGAAGGACAGCAAACGTCCAAAGGGTAGCAGCGATGCAGCGGGAACACGATGTTGCAGGACCGGAAGCGCGGACATGAGGCCAGCTCGGCAGCGGGAGCATCGTTTTGAAGGACCTAGCACGATCGGATTGGAAGAGCACGCAAGACAAACAGATGTGAAGAATTCTGTGTGAGAGGGCAGGGGAACCTTCGGAGAGAGTCTGGGGAGAGCGGAGAGTAGTATTCATAATGTGTAATTGTGGAGAGGGGTGGGAGTCAACGGAGAGTATGCGCTTTATCGCTGCGGGTGCTTTCGCCGAGACTGCCAGAGCGTAGTCGCTTACTTGTATCTTTTTGGGGGAAGTCGGGAGCGTGGTGACACGGCCTGAGTTCCGCAGCACAAGAGGTTCCTGGGCTGACGATGCCTCCTCCTGGGCTGTCGGGCTTCTTCCTCCTCATCATCCGCGCCGCCCTTCGCTCTCCTCTCCCTTCTCGTTCATCCCGCCCCTCTTCTCCCTTCTCCCCCCGTCTTTGCCCTAGCGGCCGAGGTGCACCAGGGATTTGACGGCGGTGAGGGAGAGACTGTGAAGAGTTGTCGTTTCCTTTTGTTTGGCGTTCGCGTGAGCGTGCTGACGAGGCCTGGCAACGGAGAGTAAGGTACCATTACTGTCACCCTTACCTCGTTTTCGCCTTTTTGGGCCCCTTCGGAGGCCCTCGTCGCCATGGCCTATGGCTAGATTCGCCTCGGAATTCTGGTCAGAACGTACCCCTAGAGATGTCCAAGGAGTAGCGGTATCAGTACCTTTTGGTCTTCCAAGGGGGAAGGGGGGGAGAAGGGGAGAAGGGGGGAGGGTGGGGGATTCATGTTGGCCTCCAGTTGGCGAGGGGAGCTGAATTTCAAATCCAGAAGATACGATGCGACAAGCAGCCCTCTGTTGGACTCCCAGATCCCAGTATCTTTGAAGCGCCTCCCTTCTGTGACGATCAACGGGGTGCCCTTCTGTTTTTTCGCGGGCGGACCCGAAAACCAATACACCCGAACCGCCTTCCTACCCCATGCTCGTAGAAACAGTACCTAGTCCTTCCAAAACATTTCCCCCTTCTTCAAGCAGGACCTACAAGACGATACTAAAGCGGGGGCGATCCGTAAAATTGTCCATGAATGAGAGGTCATGGGACGTGCGCAGTTGTTTCTTTGAGTTGTGCGCGAGTGTTCTGTGGTGTCGGCAGCATTTGTTGTTCAAGTGTTGCCATACGCGTACATACAGCATCCATACAGTAGCGATCGTGACAGTGGCTGCACGCATACCCTTCAGACACGTACTAGAAAGTGCCGCGTCCAATGGCAGCAGAGGATGAACTGTTGAACGTTGGTGACGTGATGCGCCAAGCGAAGCAGGCAACAGTAAGAGGAGAGCATAGCTCTGCCAAGGCATACAGCGAACGTCTCGTAGAATTGGCGCGTCAGGCAGGAGACCGGCGATCGGAGGTGGCAGGCCTATTCTACAACTATTGTGCCCTCTGCAATTTAGGCGAACGGCGACATGCTTTGGCCCCGCTGGAGGAAGCCAGTCGCCTGGCAGACGATTGTGGTTTCCAAGACTGGCGTGGCATTTTGCTTGCGAATCTCTCTTCGCATCATCCTCTACGGGACAGTTTACAGCAGCTGCAATTGTTGTCTGAGGCCGTTCAGATTGCCGCAGAGGTGGAAGACACGGACTTGTGGATCCACTGTCTTGGACGCCTTGGTGCGGTGTGCATTCATTTGATTGTTTCGAGGTCTTTGCGATCGCCACTCTCATGCATGATACTTGGCGATCCTGGCATGACGCAAATTTTGGAATGCAAGGTGTTGGCATTAGCTTCGTCATTCTACGCAGACGCAATCTCGCAAGCTGAACGACACCTTAATGTTACAGCAGAGCAGGAACATGATCAAGATACCAAGGATGAGGCAACTCGCTTGCTGGTCACAGCGTTGATGAATATGGGCGGCATGCGTTGTGGTTTGGTCCTGCCCAGCAGGCATCCAGTGTCTCACTTCTGCGGACGGGACTTCGTAGACTTGGAGTGCGGGATTCCATTATTGGAACGTGCGTGTGATCTCCTAGGAGACAGACCACCCCTGCGTATTCGAGTTGGCAAGACTGCGTTTTGGCGGTTGGGCGATGCCAGATCTTCTCTTGGTCAATGGGAATCCGCCGCGGAGGCGTACAGCCGTGGTGACGCTGCGTTTGATGAGATGTGGGCCACCCTGTCTGACGATGCTCAGAGGCGCTCGTCTCGAGACCGTACCGCTCCTGTTGACCACCGCGGGCAGGCAAGACAGATTGTTCTTCTGAAGTCTGGCCGCGACCAAGATGCGCTCCGAGTGGCTGAGTCTTGCCGGGCACGCGCTTTTGCCGTTCTTTTGGCTCACCGTCCGACGACTGTTTATGACGGGCCCCATCTTCTGTCCTGGAGTGAAATGGGTGATGTTGCAACTCAGCAGCGCACTGCCATTGTTTATTTTTCCGCTCTGGACGCGGGCTGCTACGCTGTATGGGTCATTAGCAGCACCGGGCGCCTCTTGGGGACAGTGGAGGTCTCGTTACATTCTTTATCTATGGGCCAGTGTGCAGACGTGGGGCAGATGGTCATGCTGGCGCGAGCCCAGTTGGGCGCGCGCTGCCGAGATGAAGGGTCATGCAGCGAGGCGCCAGGGGGACACCGAGGCTTTGGGGAGTCCGCTTGCAAGCGACAGGATCAACTTATACAGGCGAACAGTGTGCTTGAGCAGCTCTACGCTTTGCTAATAGATCCAATCGAAGACGCCTTCGGTGAATCACCGCCGCCCCCTGCCTGTTGGACTCGCCCGTGTGGCCGAGCGTTGTGGCACGAGCTCAGCCAAGGTATCGGGCCATGTGTTCCCCCAGCCGTCGTGGAAACCCTTCGGGGAACACTTGGGGGAGGATGGCGGGGAAGATCAGGAGGAGGAGGAAAAAGGAGGGGGCATGATGGGAGCCTCTGGGGGCACTCTTGGGGCCTCCTGGGAGCTTCCTGGGTGCCTCTTGGACGCATCTTGAGGGCCTCCTTGGGTCTCTTGGGGGCCCTGGGGGGCTTCTCGGGGGCCTCTTTGATCGTCTTAGCGCATTCCTGGCACGTCCGAGGCCGTGGGAAGCCGTATTGGGGGCCTCTCTGGGCCGATTTGGGAGCCTTCTT